CGTTGTATGGAGCCGGGTTTAAAATGGCGGCGGAAGAGATCCGGCCGCCGCCTGCGCCCTCCCTTTATAGCCGCCCCGCCCGCCAATCGGGAGGGCTGCTGGGCGGTGACGTGGCGCGGGGTCCGGCGCGCCCCCTGCCGGGCGGCGCTGGAAGCGAGCGAAGGCAGGAGCGGGGCGAGCTGCCGGGGAGCCCGCGGCCGCCAATGGGAGAGGCTGCGGGAGGCGAGAGTCGCGGGAGCGGAGGGGAACAATGGCGGCGGCGGCGGCGCGTGGGAAAGCCGGGGCGGGACCTCCATCGCGGGGCGCCGGGGGAGGCGCGAGGTGGCGCCGGGTGGCCGGGCTCAAGAGTGGAGCAGGAGCAATCCGACGAGCAGGAGATCCCGGGGCCGCGGCGTCGCAGGCAGGGGCCACGGTCCCGCCTGGCCTGGATCGAGCCTTTTGGTGTCGCGCGTCCCCGTTCGGCCCACTCGCGTCCTGCGCCCTCAGTCAGTCCCCCAGGGCGGAGATGCTGGGACCGCCCGCCCGCCCGCCCGCCCGGCTGGGTGGCTGGCCGGCTGCTCCGGGCCAAAAGGCGGCGTGCATCCGGCGCGGCTCGCCGAGGAAGCTGCAGCGCGCGCGCTCGCCCGCCCGGTGCACGCGTGCTCTGTCCCCGCGCGGGCTGGCAGCGGCCGGGCAGAGAGCGGACGCGCGATGACACCCCCCGCTCCGGTCCTGGCAGAGTGGGGGGCGGTGTCGGCTCAGGCGCCCTCGGCGGCGGGAATCGCCGCAGCCCGGGTCCGTGCGGCCTCCCGGGCTGGCTGAGACCGCGGCGGAGGGCGGGGCCTGCACGGAGGACTGAAGCGGTGCCAGAGCGCACGCGGTGGGCGGGGAAGGTGGGGAGGAGGAGGTCAGGGGCCGGAGAAGGCAAGGGGCACTCACGTCCCCGGCGCGCCACGCCGGGGGCTCCCGTCCGCACGTGCCCCGGGCCGCTCGCGCCGGCTCCACCAGGCTGCGGAGGGCTTGCGCCCGCGCTCCGGGCTCCGGGGCTCCGAGCTCGGGCGTTCGCTCCTTTGTTCCCGCCCACGCGAGGCCCATTTTGACGGACGGCGCTCGGGGCCCGCCGGTGGCCAATAGGCGCGCGCGCCCCGCTTCCCCCGCCCCCTCGGGACCCGGAGGCGCCGCCCCTCGGGCTGCCCACGCGGTCTGGGCCTGCGCGGCGGCTCGCCTGTTCTTCGGGGTGCAGCAGCTTTTGGGCGGCTTCCTCTGCGATTGCGGGTCTCCACCGCCCCCTCCCCACCCGGAGCCGGCCCGGTCTCTTCGCGCCTCGGGGTCGCTCGCTGTCGCCAGCGCTCCGATTTGTTGCTGGGCCGTCGGGAGCCCAAAGGCGTCCTAGGGCGCAGGCGGTGCTGTCCTCTTTTTGCCAGCGAGGCCGAGCCCCGTGGTAGCATCCGGCAGGGAAATGGTCGTGGTTTCGGTGCCCGCCGAAGTCACAGTTATCCTGTTAGATATCGAAGGTACCACAACCCCGATTGCTTTCGTGAAGGTGAGGGGCGGAAGGGAGCGGGGAAGTTATTTGCGCCTAAAAGCATCTGAAAAAGGAATTTAAGTGTTGCAGATTTTTGCCTGCGGGGTCGAGGAGAGGTGGTGTGGCTTTGCGTCTCTGGAATGGGGAAGAGAGCGAGGCTGCCGGGGGTGCTTTTCCCCGCGCCACCGTCTTCTCCCTCCCCTGTCCTTGCTTTTGGTTAGGTAGAGAAGGACAGGAGGAAGAGGAGGTGGTCTCAGCAAAGGCTTGGGGGAAGGCAGGTCAGCTGCGAGGAGTCGGGATGACGGGAGCGCCCACGGTCCGGGCAGGTAGGTGTGTACCCTGTCGCCCGGTGCGTGAGCGTCCACCATGTGCCGGGTTGCGGCCTGGAGAGGTAGTGGCCTTTGAGGTTTAGGTCTTCCCAATGCAGAAGAGGAGTTTTCAATGGCTCTGGTACCTTGGGCAATAACAGTTGGTTTTCGCACCATCTCACTTGGCGCTGGTTAGTGGCCGAGCTGTATGCATACTTATTTCAGTTGACGACCAGAGCACATCTAAAGTCCATTTATTTTCCTTAGAAAACCACGAGATGTTGAAACTTTTAAGTATCTGCCCCGTTAACACTGTTTCACAGGCTTAGGACTTTGCTTTCTTCCATATGCTTAATTTAATCACCCGTATTAACCGCAGGTATTTATGTAGAATAGTTGAGATAATTTAGGGGAAAACAGTTGGAAAACCCATCGTCTAATAAATTGTGCAGCCTGTTTTAAGTTCTATTTTGATTGTTCACGTTTTACAATTACCCGATTTTCTAGGTGCAGGTCATAATCTTTGTACACAATTTTAGGTCTCCAAATATAATAGCTGCTTTGTTTTTGTTTTTTATTATTTTCTTAAGGCAGCGTCATTCCCTCAATATATCACCCAGGTTGGCCTCATACTCCCGGCAATCCTGCCTCTATCTCCAGGGCTGAAGTTTCCAGACAAGTGTCACCAAACCTGGCAACTGTTTACTTGTGTCCGTTCTCCCCCCCCCCCCCCCGAAGAATTGTGGTGCTTTGGACACTTAACAGAGGTCCTGAACAAGTCTATTTGGACATTTCCCCAAAATTTTAATTACAATAGAGATCAGTGGAAAATTTCAAGACCGCTTAAATGCTGATAATTGTGTCTGTTTTCTTGTTACATAATTAGCTGCTCTGTGTGTGTGTGTGTGTGTGTGTGTGTGTGTGTGTGTGTGTGTTGGGGGGGTGTTGGTTATCTTTCACTAGCTCTATTCTCTTCCTGTCTGTTGTCCACTAGGGCACCAGGAGTAGTGGCAGCTGAGGTCATGATGTCGCAATAGATTTGCACCATTTTTGGAAAATTGATTTGTTGAATAAGATAGGTCATACAAATCAGTTTGGAAGCAAAGAGTAAAACTTCCCCCACCCCCCCCCCCCCCTCTCTCTCCCTGCCTTCCATTAGATCACTATGAGCCATTTCTTAATCCCTGGGCAGTCTTATTATGAAATCTTGTAATAAAAGTGCTCTAGTGACCTAAATACAATTTGATACCAGAATATATGCACCTACAAAATAATGTTTTGGGAATCTCTACAAAAGGATAGCTTTTAGCAATCCATGTGGTGCTGCTAGGAAGGCTGAGGCAGAAAGATTGCTTGTTTGAAGTCAGCCAGGGCAACACAGTGTGACATCATCTCAAAAATTAACTAAGTATAGGGCCTGGAGAGATGGCTCAGCAGTTAAGAGCACTGGCTGCTCTTCCAGGGAACCAGGTTCCGTTCCCAGCACCCATATGGTGGCTCACAACTGCCCCGTAACTCCAGTTCCAGGAGTTCAGATTCCCTGTTTTGGTTTTGGCAGCCATCAGGCACACGAATGTGGTGCACAGACACACATGCAGGCAAAACACTGCACATAAAATGAAAATTCTTAAAAAAAGTTCAGGGCTAGGCATGGTGACACACACCTTTAATCCTAGCACTAGACCAAGGCAGAAGCAGGTAGATCACTGTAGATTTGAGGCCAGCCTGTTCTACGTCTCCAGTTCCAGAACAGCTGAGAGAGAGAGAGAGAGAGAGAGAGAGAGAGAGAGAGAGAGAGAGAGAGAGACTGTCTCAAAAAATACAAAATATAAAAGTAGAGTTTAAAAAGTAAAATATAAATAAGGTAGTTTCTTGGGTCTACTGTTATTTTACTACTAGACACAAATTTATCAAAATCAGTATTTCTGAAAGCATGTTCAGAAGAATGAGTTACATTCAGAAGAATTTGAGTTCCGTGGGTGTCTATGAAATTTCATTAGACATACTTGAGAGCTCCTGTCTGAACAAGTTTAGCTCGCTTTCTTTACAGCACGACTCCTCAGAGCCCATACGGCTGGCTGCATGCTCATGTATGCATACGCTTGAGTCCTCGGGAGGGCGGCATTTTCTGAATAAGAAATGTCTAGAGCATCTGAGGGACTGAGCTTTTTGAACACGTTAAAGGGAATGGCCGAGTCATGAGTGGAGCTGGGAGTTTAAAGGTGTTCTCCTAAAGCACTGTTCGTCAAGTAGGTGTGTGAACTTTTAGTCTTGTTTCCTAGGAATGACGGAAGGAAACGTTGAGTGGTGTTTACACGAGATACTGAACTTGTCTTCAGAATTGTCTGAATTGAATAAGGCTCCAAAAAACTGTACAAAATGCCTGGGATTTGAGCCCAAATTGTCAGGATCAGAACCTCTTCCTCTTGGCTGGGGTGGCTCAGTTGGTAGGCGCTCACCAAGCATACACCTCCAGCACAGTGTAAAACCAGCCCCAGCACTAGGTGTCTTAGGGTGTTTATTGCTGTAGAGAAACACCATGACCATGGTAACTTTTTTTTTTTTTTCTCAAGACAGGGTTTCTTTGTAGTTTTGGTGCCTGTCCTGGATCTCACTCTGTAGACCAGGCTGGCCTCGAACTCACAGAGGTCTGCCTTGTTCTGCCTCCCGAGTGCTGGGATTTAAGGTGTGTGCCCCTGCTGCCTGGTAACCATGGTAACTCTTACAAGGAAAAGATTTAGTTGAGGTGGCGGCTTACAGTTTGGGAGGTTCAGTCCTTTATCATCATGGTGGGGAGCATGGCAGCATGCAGGCAGATGTGGTGCTGGAGGAATAGCTGAGAGTTCTCCATCTAACGGGCAGCAGGAAGTAGGCTGACTGTCACACTGAGTGAAGCTTGAGAAAAGAGCCCTCAAAACCCGCCCCCATGGTGACACACTTCCTCCAACAAGGCCACACTTCCTAATAGTGCCACTCCCTTTGGGGGCTATTTTCTTTCAAACCATCACTTTAGGTGTGGTGTGGAAGGTCTGTAATCCTGTTATTAAGAAGGTAGGCACGGGAGAATCAGAAATTCAAGGTCATCCTTGGCTACAGAGCAAATTTGAGGCTAGTTTGGGCTACATGAGACCCTCTCTTAAAAAAAAAGCCCCTCTTAATATTTCTGTTATTTCACCTAACATTTGTGAAAGTGTTCTGTCCCATCTCCATGGTTGTTTTTATTGACGTATGTATTTATGTGTGTGAGTATGTGTGTAGGCCCTGTGCATGCAGTGCCTGTAGAGGCCAGAAGGAGGTGTCAGATATGGATCTGGAGTTAACAGGTGGTTGTGGATGCTGGGAACTGAACCTGGGCCCTTCTGCCAGACAGAGCAACAAGTGCTCTCCACCCCTGCCCAGTCTCTTCTGCTTGGTTATTGTTTGTTAAGTTGTAACCGTTGACATGAGAACACGTTAATCACTATGAAATACCATAAAAGTACACGGTAAGAATAATCCAGTTTATGTTGCTATTTGATGATGAACCTGGATCAGAATGAGTAGAGGTACCCTTCATTTGCGTATTTGACTCTGGTTAGCGTGCACTGAGAACGTGGAATATTGTCAAGAACTGCCTTTGAAGGTACACTTCGTGTGTCAGTACTCTTTGGAAAGGCTGATTT